TTATATATGTACATTCAGCATCTTCCACTGAATAAAATTTAATGAAACAATAGGATTTATTTGGTGGCATTATTATATCATATTTCGAAACAGTTGAGTTTGTAATATTTTGTAATGTTTCTCGTTTGAGTCCAGTTATCAAACCAGCATTGCAAATCATCAAATACTATAACGGGATACAAAATGAGCAAGTAGATTTTAGTATTTATTCATTTAAGAATACTGTGAATTATATTTATTAACATAAATAATAACCTTTGTTGGATTATTACAGCATTTAATATTCATATCTTTAAGAAGTCTGTGATGAGCTCGTTGTTGTTTACGGAGACTCTTTTTAATGAATTTTTCTTCCATTTCTTTTTAATATATGAGGTTACATTAAATTCACAAACAAAACAAGAGAAATCTTAGTCTTGAATGGTCTGTACTGGCCTGTACCAGTACTGAGTTGTAAGATTTGAAGATTTTCTATCTCAGCGCAGTCGACGGTGGAGTGATGAACTTTTGATAATTTAGCGTGAGTTCGTAGATTATATCAGTACATATATAATACTCAATCGAAGACGGGATTGTTAAAATCACCGCTACGCATGCTTCCTACCTGACTATATTGTGTACATACATACATACATACATACATATCCACATATAAATACAGAGTATTACATAACCTTGTATAATGTTGTAATTTGTAACAGAAAAAGAATTTCTTAAACTTGAGAATATACGATGTTGTGGAGAACCACTTCAAATCTTGTACGACATACAATATTTAAAAATAGACGAATGTATCATACATTATATTGTATGACATTTATTTGTCAACAACATAGGTTGGATCTAACCTATTCATATTTACAAACGAACCCTATTTCTATAATACAAAAGAGATTAGAGAGCAACAAGCAGATTTCAGAACGAGTAATTACAATGATATAAAATTATTAGCCTTTTATATTGCTTTCGGCAAAAATGAAATACATTTATCTATTTGGACTACACATATTTAGGGACAAGATGATAGTGATGAAGAGGAATCAAAAGTCGATAATTATTTACAAACAAAAACTACGAAAGTAATAAATACTACGATACCTTCCCTTCGGTTAGATGTTGTTGCTAAAGCGGCATTTGGATTATCACGCAAGTATGTTATTATCATTAAATATGATTTAAATAAGTAATTAAAGTTTTAATTATCAAATGTTAAACAGCAAATAGTTAAATAATTTCTCCTTTCAACTGATATTCAACTGACTTTATTTTTTTGTAGCAAAGTAGATAAAGCATTTTATAATAGCAATCTTCGTGTCAATGGACAAAAATATTTGAAAAAGAGTAAAATAGTAAGAATAAATTTCAAAATAGAAAGATGTAGTAACATCGTGCAGTCATAATGAATGAAGTTATTAATGAAAAATTAAAATAGCTTGCATGACTGATTTTTCATTCTATAATATAATTATATAATTCATTAAGATGCACGAAACATAAAAAAGAAATAAATTAAATTATATTTGCAATATTTAGGTTGATGTTGAAGATGAAATCGATTTAGTACTTGGCAGAAGTAATAATAATCCTGCATTCTTGACAGTACATCGTTGTATACTACTGTCAGTTAAACCAAGTGAGGAAGGAT